ACGCTTGCTACTTGGCAAATGAGCTCCTTTTTAATCATCGAGTTGCTGTTATTACCATGTAATCATATTAACAAATAAAATGATTGACGAATCTTGATATCGATGGGCTTGAGATTAGGCTCAGGATGTTCTGCTCAGTAAGCAGAAACGGTTGCTCTAAGGCCACCGAGTCCCTCATATCACATCATACCGTTAAGGCCCAAGCGCAATGATAGCGGAAGCGGAAGCGGAACGGCAGTGGCAGCGGCAGCGGAGAAGCCCGATCTGAGTTAGCCTACTTGTCGGATTGAAAAGTTAGAACCAAATCGACTTCGGTTAGGCATCTTGATGTCATTTGTGACAACTGTCAAACTTTCCGTTCCGCTTCCGCCCCCATTGCGTTTGGGCCTTTACTCAAGTTGTTATAACTATTCAAACCCGGCACCGACGACAACGAAAGGTTTAGCAAAATACACGATAAACAAGCGATCTTACCATACATTTTTAATATGAAATGACCTGGGACCGCGTTTTTCTGCTCAGTAAGCAAGCCACTGCAACCGACAATCTTTCAAATCCAAAAACAAAAGGCTACGAAAAAGTATTTAGGCCTTGATTAAATTCCACTATCACGCGACGTTCAATGTTTCGATTTGCTCTTTATTCATTGTTCAGGCAATCATAACAAGCTATGACCGACGTGACGATTGTTTAAAGTAATATGAGTAATATGAGTATTATTGTACAAATTACAATAATTGGAGAAGCTACCTCATAATTTTGCAGCGCCATCGGTTTTTATTTTTGGATCTTGAGTTGTTTTGGTGATATACTTACTTGCGGCATACTATTTTGGGCGCCCATATAGGCGTGTACTATGTAGGGTAGCTCATCCCCGTCGTGATGGTGGGATATAGCAGACAAATTAGACACGAAACTTCAGAGAGGAAACAAAGAGGTATTAGTATTAGTTATATCTAAACAAACAAAACGATGTCAGTCAAAATTGGATTCCTTAGCAACAAAAACATGCAATGACACCGATAATGACCATGCATCAGAACCCTAGTCTTAACTACTTTTTCTTTTCTTTTTTTTTAATTATTCGTTTATTTTTCCAGGCTCATTTGCTGTAGCTTTGCGGAGCCGATATTCATTGTTTAGATAACAAAATTACTTAAAACTAACGTTAGTAAAGCGGGGGCCGATTACTCGCGGCTATCTCGAGGTTAGGGGTAACAAATTGTAACAAATGGATGGCAGGGTAGGGATTGTGAACACAAGGTTTGGAGAGCAATGTGCTCTTGATCTCGAACTAGGCGACACTCTGATGAAAAAAACAAACATGGGGGTACACCGATAGGTAGCTAACAACTTGGAAGAACACAAGATGACACTAACTTCTAAATCCTCAAGTCTATCCGTTTTAAAAACACATAAATTAAATTCAAATAGTCAAGGTCTCGGCTCGCCAAGACATCTCTAACGGGTATCGCGGGTTGTTTTCCACGGGCCCTGAGGGATGTGGATAACTCAGATCTGGCAACACGGTGTAAGGTACACGACCAAACAACATGCTCGATATCGTGATAACCACTGCCACACGCACATAAATTGCTGCCTGAGAGCCCAATTCGATAGAAGTGCGAGTCTAACGAGCAGTGATTGGACATAAGCCTTGATATAACGCGTATAAAGTCGCGGCTCATGTCCAACCCTTTGAACCATGGTTTGTTCGACACCTGTGGGAGAATAGAGTGTAACCATCTTCCCAATTCACCATCATTCCATTTTTGTTGCCAACTGATGAGGACTTGCTGGCGAGCAATGGAGAAAAATTCGTTGAAGGCGATTTGTCGCTCAAAAATATCGCCTTCCATAGCGCCCACCTTAGCCAATGAGTCCGCTTTCTCATTACCCGGAATTGAGCAATGAGATGGGACCCAAGCTAAGGTGATAGTATAGGAGCAGTTAGATAAAGCACTCAGTTTAGATCGTATTTCAGGCAGGAAATACGAGGAGTGCTTCATCGGCCTCATTGAACGAATAGCCTCCAATGAGCTAAGACTATCCGTAAAAATGAAATAATGGTCAGAAGGTAGTGAGGCAATTCGCTCTACTGCGTAAAATGTAGCTGCGAGTTCCGCAACGTATACGGAGCATGGTTTCTGCAGTTTATAGGAGGCGCTATGAAATTGATTAAATACACCAAATCCAGTGGAAGCATTTATGGTTGACCCATCTGTGAAAAATCTTTTATCGTTACTAACATGGTGGTACTTGATTGCAAAAATTGAGGGAACAACCATCGACCGATGGTGATCTGGTATTCCATGGATTTCTTGCATCATGGTCAGATCAAAATTTACAGAGGAACTATAGAAGGCTTGGAAGCAATCACGATTGGAGATTAATGAAGAAGGACCAACCTCCAGCGTCATGTACTCATAGTACAAACTCATGAATCTTGTTTGAGAATTTTGGTCGAGCAGCTTCTCAAAGTGTTCTATTACCAAAGGATTCAATACTTCACAACGGATGAGGAACCGGAAAGACAGCTCAGCGAAACGATCTGTCAGTGGGAGAACACCCGCGAGTACTTCGAGGCTCATCGTATGCGTCGAGTGCATACAGCCAAGCGCGATTCGGAGGCAACGGTATTGAACTCGTTGCAGCTTCAAGATATGTGTTTTCGCCGTGGATTGAAAGCAGAAGCTACCGTACTCTAGAACCGACAAGATGGTTGTTCGATACAACCTGATAAGATCTTCCGTGTGTGCTCCCCACCAAGTTCCGGTAATTGTATGAAGAAAATTGATTCTTTGAAAACATATTGTTTTAGATACGCAATATGTTTTCCCCATGTGCATTTGGAATCGAACCAGACACCTAAATACTTGAAAGATATACTTTGAGTGATTGTTCTACCCTTTAGTTGAAGCTGTAACTGTGCAGGATGATGCTTCCTAGAAAAAACAACCAACTCAGTTTTCTCCGGAGAGAATTCGATACCCAGCTTCATAGCCCAAGTAGACAAATTGTCTAAGGTATCTTGCAATGGTCCTTGCAGGTCCGGTGCACTTGGCCCTATAACGGACACAACGCCGTCATCTGCAAGCTGCCTTAGCGAGCAATTTTCATCAAGACAACCATCAATGTCTTTAACGTAAAAATTATAAAGAAGGGGGCTTAAACATGAGCCCTGGGGGAGACCCATGTAACTAATTCGTGAAGTTATCGAGTTTCCATGAGAAAAGCTCATATATTTCTCAGACAACAAGTTGCTCAAATAGTTGTTCATAATTGGTGAAAGCCCACTATCGTGGAGTTTATCCGAAAGGACATCGATACAAATAGAATCAAAAGCCCCCTTAATATCCAAGAAAACTGAACCCATTTGCTGTTTTTGCGCATAGGCCAGTTGAATTTCAGTTGAAAGCAACGCAAGACAGTCGCTCGTTCCCTTGCCTCTCCGAAATCCATATTGCGTATCTGAAAGTAAACCATTCGACTCGACCCATTTGTCTAGACGAAAAAGAATCATTTTCTCCAACAATTTCCGTATACAGGACAGCATCGCGATGGGACGGTACGAGTTATAATCCGACGCGGGTTTACCGGGTTTTCGAATGGCGATAACTCTTACTTGCCTCCAATCATCCGGAACAATGTTGTGCTCCAGAAATTGATTGAATAAGTTCAACAAGCGTCTCTTCGCGACGTCTGGGAGATTTTTGAGCAAGTTGAACTTGATTCTATCCATTCCTGGAGCTGAGTTGTTACATGAGAGGAGAGCAAGTGAGAATTCCACCATCGAAAACGGAGAATCTATTTCGTTACTACCCGACGGACTATCACGAACGTTGGTTTGAACCGACACCGAATCCGGGCAAACTTTCTGCGCGAAGCTGAATATCCAACTGTCTGAGTACTCCTTGTCTTCGTTGACCGGTGACGACGCGTTGCGCATTCTCCTGCCGACATTCCAGAGTGTTCTCATGGAAGTCTCTCTCGACAAACCATCGACGAACCGACGCCAGTAACCGCGTTTTTTGGCTTTAATCAAGCTCTTAAAAGTTTTCTCGAGGTCGGTGTACCGCTCGAAATCCTCGACCTTACCGTGTTTGCGGAAGCATTTAAGTCTTAACTACTTCAACCTAAACAATAACGAATAGAAGATCACATAGATAAAGACTAACTAACTCATTTTTTCCTTGTTTCAAGATCATCCTCGGTGGACAAAGCCGAGTCTTGTCACTATCAGCAAGGCATACAAAGTAACAAGGACTAAGATGCATTCCTTGGATTACTGAAAAGTCATGTTACCCTAGTTTTAAGTAGTCAGGACTAGGAATCGGTGGTAGGTCTTACATTCCGTAACGTACCACGAAAAGGTGATCTACCCATGTTACGTGGCTTACTAGAACAAAGTTGAAGAGCCAAAGGCTAACCAATTGAATTGTAAAACCAAATGTTGAAACATGAAAAAACAAGCAAATAAAAGTAAATTTTACTACTACTCAGTTATTCTGTAAATGGCTTCCTTGTGAACAGGATCCACGTCCAGCGCTCAAACAATGCTGCCCAACGACATCACGGCAACGCCGCCAAAATTGAAATGCAGACAGTCAGTGTTACAGAGTGTTGACATTTCAAATCATTAATCATTACCTTTATCGATTATATTTAATTAATGGAAAAATCTAAATTTAATGCTACATCTCATCCTAATCTCAACCTCCGTCACCAAAATTGAAGCAATCCGTTACTGATCCAAAAGTGAGACTGTGAAATTCAAACTCCAAAATCAAATTCACCACGAACAGTGCGCTTCTCACTTCGCCACCCACTCTGCGATACGTGCGGGGAGTTACGGGCCTTCGATAGGTGAGCCAAACCAAAACTCGCACCTTCATCCCAAAGCAACCCTAACCAGAGCGCCAGCATGAACAGATCTCTCGGATAGAACCGGTCGGACGGTCGGTCGGTCGGTCAGTTTCTCTTCAGCCGTATCAGCAAGCGGTCGATAAATCGGAAAAGTCTCCCATCATCCGCAGGAGCTCGGTGATTCGAACCGAAAAGTCAATTGAGAAAATCTTCAGTGTGTTTCACTTTGTGTCTGCCTCCTGTTCTAAATAGAAGTGGTGAGGGTCCTTTGATCCTTGTTTTTTGTGTTGTTGAGGCAGACAGGTGGATACTGTTGTTGGCCAACAAAGCGGACGTGCTTCGACGAAATACATAGCGAAAGAGAAGTTGAATTTCCTGATTCTCTACGTATCAAGCGTGCGTGTGTGTGTATGTTACGATCGGTGATTCGGATTAATATTTTATGAGAGAAAAAGGATATTCCTAGCATTGCTGGAATTAATTTCGCTGCAGTTAACTAGGATATTGATCCGATTCGTTCAGTGGTTCCGCTTTAAAGACGTGCGACAGTGAAAAGTTTTGAAAGCTTTCTGCTTATCCTTGCCAGTGGACAGGCAAAGACAAACGAAAATCCCTTGTTGTGGCGAGCGAGACGATCATCGCAACATGGTATAGGAAGAAAGAAAGCAGCTCGATATCTCCGTCCCACGTGAGACGTTGGCGAGGACCTAATCAGCTGTCAACTTGGGAAGTATTTCCCAGCATCCCGTGCAGACACGTAGCAGTGTGGTGTTTTGCTTTTATTTCGGTGTTGGTTGGTTTGGTGAGTGATTTTTCTCACTGAGGTGCGGTTGTGTTGGTGCTGGTCGTGAATTTATTGTCTAGGAGGGAAATCAAATCGCAAAAAAAAAAACCCAGGAGAGCCGTACGAAGCAACAAACAAATAGGGGAAAATATTGTGTTCTTACGAAAAAAAAGCGTGATTTAGTCTCGTGTTTTTGTTCTATTTACCTGAGAAACAGAGTTTTACTTTACTTGGCTGCTGACGTAGAAACAGGTTCACCCGTCGGTGGCAGCGAGAGTAGTGTGTGCGAAATGTGAACACTGTTTTTATTTTGCAACCATTTACTGCTGGTGTGGGAGTGGGGTTATTACTTACGGTTGGGAGGAAAATTAAATTTTAGTGGTTTTTCATGTCACTGTTAAACTGTGACGGAGTGTGAAGGTGGTAGAAGAAACGCGTTGTGACCCTTTCTCCAGTTGCTGTTGTTTTGGAAAAATCGTTGTCCTGCTGGCTGAAATCAAGGTGAGTAAGAAACGTATCACTTTGTATTTTTATCCGATACAAAGTATTGATCTAAAGCACCAACATTGATTTGCTATGCCATTCATTGTTTTCTCGTTTTTCTGAAATAAAAAGTGCAGGATATTATAATTGATCAAAATACCGTCAACTCTCCAAAACTCGATATTCTATAACTCGATGGATTCTGCGGTTCTGCGGTCTGAGTTTCAAAATTGTTTCAAACTACTCAACAGTTCTAAAATTTAAAACTGTCAAAAATGAAACTGCAACACGATCAGTGCAACGCACTGTTTTAAAAATTGTTTGTTATTTATCCCTAAATATGTGAGCGAGTGCAATTTTTTTTTTTGCTTTGATGGTTTTAGCACTAACGGACAAGGTGATTCTGATTCAAGAACATGTTTCCTGGCACAAGATGATTACATCAACCCAATCCAGTGTCAGGTAACGAGTTCGATGAGGTTCCGGACAATTCTTCAGTCGAAATATGTATTGAAAGTTATTTGTGAAATGCGATTTGATGATGGACGAGATTACTATATGGAGTTATCTGATCACCGGATGGTCTTTGAAATAAATTCTGAAAGTGAATATATGACAGAAGTGATTTAAATTGTTGGACAATTGAAGATCTTCAGAATTTTACTTAATCAATCTGAAGACTTGAAAAAATATCATGAGAAGTTTTTGGAAATCTTTGATCACCTGAAGATCTTTGGAGTATTTTCTGACTCAACTGGTATCATAAGAGCATATCTGGCAGATGTGATTTGAATTGTTTGTATAAGATCAAATTTATTGAAGCTGCCTTCTTCATCCTATTAGCTAAGTCTTCGTAACACTCTTCTACTGTGTTCCTAATGGTATCAGTTTTTGGTGCTATCATTCTCATCTCATCTTGATTTTTTTTAATTCCCTGTACCTTTAATAACTCTCTGTTAATTTTAGTAGCGTTGTGTTTTTATGAATATTGTTTTATATTATTTTTGTCTAGTATAAGCCCTACAATAATAATTTTATGATCAGTTTTAATGTGAGTCCAAGTTCCTTTAATAAACCTTTTTTTTAAATTTTGTACCTTGTGGTCTTAAAACGTATTTTCCTTGGCGATTTGGCCTTTTGGAAACAAAAAGCACAAACTAAATTACGGCACTTCTCGTGATCAAGCTTCATTTTTGAACGAGCAACCAGTCGCGACTAACCATAAATGCACAAATGTCATGTCAATATTTACTTATTCACTCGTGTTGCTTAGCACGCGTTTGGAAACGAACCTGAAATGGAATATCTAAGCAACCTGTGTAGTTTTCACATTGATGCTATCTGGGTGTGGCCAATTCGGTTCAAGAAACTCAATATTACCATCTACGACCTTAGTTTTGAATTTTCATGACATTTTAGGTCTCATATGATGAAACCACTGACCACTTCCCCGGGGGCATCCGAAACATGTCAAGTTATGGTCAATTTGGTCCTAGACACTCGGTATGACGTTATATCTTTGTTTTGAATTGTAATGTGATTTGATGTATCACATGATGAGCATGAGCATGATTGACCGCCCACGGTTGCTACTCTGTTATTGCCAGATCAGCTGTAATTACACAAAAAACCAATAAACGATGCTTGGGACTAGCAATCATCTTCAATGTGTAAAAACTGGTGATCTCAAACTAGGCAATACCAGCGCCGGCCGCGCCCGAACGCAGTTCAAGAAAGGAATGGTTAGGAATGTGTTGACGTGACACTCCCATTGATGGAAGCCGAGAAATCCTCTGCACTTTCACGAGGAATCACTGGGATGTTGGATCAGAGGGTAGGGATTGCAGGTGATGTCCTAACGATAGGGAGGGGTTACTGTATAAATAAATAAAAAGGAATGATCGCACCCAAATAAACATTTTGAGCTGCACTAACAGCAACCGGCCTCCTCGTAGACTTTCTTCGACCTATCGCAGGTATCTCCTTCAAACACACACACTTAATTCAGATCACCGAAGTCGGTAGGATTTTACCGGTTTTTTGAACAGCAGAACAAGTCGGTAAAATTTTCAAATGACCGTTACACGTTAGAAATCAAGAAAATTTCTAAATTTTATTTTTCATCAATAAATGATCAAATTCTCAACAAGTTCAGAATAAATTTTCTTATAATTGGGGTTTTCACTGATTTTTAAACTTTTACCGAACAGTTCTGTAGTTCAAAATTTACCGAACGACGGAGGCCTGGATTAGTGTGCAGACGTCGAAATTCCGGATTCATCTCGTAGATATATAATTAATAAAATACACTCAAAATAATCTTCACGTTAATGCTACGTGAAAACATACATAGATTTTTTTCATAGCACTATTCACGTAGACGTTACGTGATTCTCATATGGAAGCACTAATTTCCGTGAGCATCAACGTCAATGGATTATCACATAGAAGTTAGGTGATTCTTTCAGTACTGTTTGGGACTGAACCACCCAGAAACTACAACCCTGTTCTGCTGCATAGCTGAGGGAAACAATACCCAGAATGAGGAAACAAACCACGGCTATTCTACAGCATCACCATTACCTACGATCGGTCGGGAGAGCGCCAGATGAGATGTCCATACGAGTCGCCGATCGTTTGTAGACTTCTGTACAGCGCGAGAGGGAGATTTGGGCTAGGCGACCATAGGTCAAGCGATGACCAGATCGAGAGACGGGAGTTAGTTGGTTTCGGACACCGGATAGGACGGTTGGATATCCCATCGGGGATGAATATAGAAATGATTAGCTTAAGTTTTGTGAAAAGTAAATTGTGTAGTAATTGTAAATAAATGTAGTTTTTGTAAACTGTGTTTTACCAATTCGCGAGTGTTGTGTTTGGAAGGAAGAATACTCGCATACGAGCTACATTTTTGGATTCCCCGAAACACCAACAACAACAGAGTCCCCCACCAGTGTTGGAGTCGGCACGGATGCTCCACTACCACCATATATCGAAGGAGGTAAGCCGGCTATCCAACATTTTGGTCCTTCGAACCGGATGCCTAACCCGGGGACCAGTTGGACGGAATTGCGCCACACCGAAACCAACAGTGCCAAGTGAGCGCCATCGTACTCGCGCGAAATCGCCATCGCGAGATAGGACATAATTGGCTAGTCGCCATCGCGGATCCAAGGAGACTTTGGTGGATCGCCATCACCAAATAGGCGAATAATAGGACAATCACTGGTTTTTGTTTGTGGACAAATTGCGCCATCGCCGCTTAGGAAAGTGGACGAATATTGGACCCATTTTGGAATTTGGAATCCTTTGAGGAGTGAAACCGGTGGATACCTGTGAATGCTGTGGAGACTTTCGAGGACCATTAGTGCATGCAGAGAAATTTGGCTGAATTTGGATCAAACCTTGGTCATCCGTAGCTACGCAGAGCATCGAATCAGCAGAAATATCTGCTTTGACCAGGTAAATATTCATAAGTTCGGTGTATGTCTAGCCGAAGCATTTCTTACATTACACTAACGCCATCCTTTCGATGCATGCTATTGGATTCGTTGCATGGAACGGAGAATCTTCGGTGATACGGAGAACTGAGGACGGCATTCAAGCTGATTACAGCAGACGGCTCAGCGAAGGAACGATTGTGCATCCCGCATAAGTCGGCGACCCTGGTTTTCGCTGTGAAGGACGATTGCAACGGACGGTGGCAGAAGAGGGAGCGGCCATTTACTCCCTTCCCGGTGAGTGAACTTTATTGTATATGTCACTGCCGAGCTAGGCATACAGAAATACACGATTTTAATTGAAATTCCCGTACATCCTCTTCAATTACCACCACGCAAGCCCTGCAATTGAATTGTTCGTTAGAGCAAGTCTGCTGATAAACCCCAATTTGCATCCTCGACTGGTTTTTCGTTCTGGTTGGTGAAGCTGTTAGTCCTCCAGGTTAGTTGCACGGTATATGTCCTACCGAAGCTAGCCATACGATTGCTACATAGCCATTATTCCTCTTCGCACTGCATCCAGCATACACACACGTTCTGGAGTTCACATTGTCTGCGATCAAAGCAACATTTATACCAATTTGGTGTCGAAATTGGATAACTTTGGATTGGTACTGCTGTTGGTACCTCCAGGTAGGTTGCCACAGTATATGCCCAGCCGAGGCTTAGGTTTCTCTGGATATTACACCCCAAATTCTTCTCTTCTGTGAACTTCAACCTAAAATTGAGTGATCCCTATCGAGGCAAGATTGATGTGACGTCATCGGACCTTTTGCTAATTTGGTTCGAATTTGGATTCAGAACAGTTACCTGTTCTGCCAGGTCAGTAATAGCGAGCAGTATATGTCCGCCGAAGTGGAGACTACACGCGGAATACTACACCTCCAATTTCTTTACCGATTGTTCGACATCACATCAAAATGCCACCCACCACCCGGAAAGGATTGTCATCCCTGAAGCAACTGAGGGTTCAATTGGACGATTTGAAATCCTCGTTCGATGATATTTGGTCTTTCATTCAGAAGTTTTCTGATGAAACCACCGGTACTCAAGTCGAAGTTCGATTAGAACGGATCGATGATTTGTGGGAGAGATTTAGTGAGAATTTGGTCGAGCTAAAATCTCATGAAGACTTCGAGGATGAGGAGAGTTATTATAGTAAGTTACGCAAGCACTTGAGCGATCGCTATTATGAAGCCAAAACCTTCCTGTTGGACAAAAGCAAGGCCCTTCGCGTTTCTTCTGAGTTGGAACAGTCCGCCCATGAACAATCAATGTCAGGTGTTGTCGGTCATGTCCGGTTACCGCAGATCAACCTCCAATCATTCAACGGTGACATCGATGACTGGTTGAGCTTCCGAGACCTGTTCACCTCGCTCATCCACTGGAGGACTGATTTACCAGAGGTGGAGAAATTTCATTATTTGAAAGGGTGTCTTCAAGGTGAACCTAAAAGCCTAATCGATCCACTGAAAATTACCAAGGCGAATTACCAGATAGCTTGGGATATTCTGGTAAAGAGGTACAACAACAACAAGCTGTTGAAGAAGAAGCAGGTCCAATCTTTCTTCAAACTTCCAGCCCTCTCCAAGGAATCTGTTGTTGAGTTACGATATCTGGTGGAAGGTTTTGACCGAGTTGTCCAAACACTTGATCAAATCGTGGAACCTGCTGAGTACAAGGATCTCCTATTGGTGAATCTGCTCACGATGCGACTCGATCCATCAACTCGTCGAGCATGGGAAGAATATTCGGCCAACAAGGAGATGGATTTACTGACAGACCTCACCGAATTTCTGCGTCAGCGAATGCAAGTACTGGAATCCCTTCCATCTAGGCAGACGGACAACAAGATCATCCATCAGCAACAACCACCACCGAAACCGAAAGCTTCAGCAATCAAGGCAAGCTACAATTCGATTCAATCGTCAGGAGGAAGATGTGTGGCTTGTAAGGACAACCACCTTCTATACCAATGTTCCGCATTCCAAAGACTTTCTGTGGTGGATCGGGATTCTCTACTGAAATCTCAAGGACTTTGCCGGAATTGCTTTCGATCGGGGCATCAGGCAAAGGATTGCCAATCCAAATTTTCCTGTCGGATCTGCAAGAACCGTCATCACACCCTGGTTTGCTTCAAGTCGGAGAAGGATCACACTGTAACGGTCGCAGCGATTGCTGGGGGCAATCATCCTTCAAATTCCAAGGAATCCCAAGGCTCCTCAGGTTCCAATTCAATCCAACTGGCTAACGTGGCAGCCACTGACGTTTCGTTATGCGGTACGTCTAATCAACTCACGTCGCAAGTCCTTTTAGCGACAGCGGTAGTCATCGTCGAGGACGACGTTGGTTCAAGGTACCACGCCCGTGCTCTTCTTGATTCCGGTTCAGAGAGCAACTTCGTATCGGAACGGTTAACCCAAAGGATGAAGGTAATCAGGAATAAGGTCGACGTCTCGGTCCTTGGTATAGGACAAGGGGCTACCAAGGTCAAACATACAGTCCAAGCGGTCATACGTTCGCGAACCTCGGATTTCTCGCGAGATATGAGGTTTTTGGTGCTACCCAAGGTGACTGCGAATCTCCCTACAACCTCAATCAACACGGAAGGGTGGATTCTACCGAATGGAATTGAGCTAGCGGATCCTGCATTCTTCACGTCCAAGGAAGTCGACATGGTGCTAGGCATCGAGGCTTTCTTCGAATTCTTCGAATCGGGGCGAAGGATTACAATCGGCAAACATCTACCAAGCCTTACAGACTCGGTGTTCGGTTGGGTAGTATGTGGTGGCTGTTCAACTCCTATCAAATCCCTACAAGTCAACTGCCATTTCTCAACGTCCGAGGACTTGGAAAAGTTGATGGCACGTTTCTGGTCGTGCGAGGAGGTGGAATTCACGGACGTTTATTCTCTGGAGGAGAAAAAGTGTGAAGAATTATTTCAACGTGGAGTTCAAAGAGGTCCAGAAGGTCGTTATACTGTTCCCCTACCCAAAAATGAAGACGTTCTTCCAAACCTGGGCGAGTCACGGGACATCGCATTCCGACGTCTTCTCGGAACGGAACGGAGATTGGCAAGGGACGCCAACTTACGGGAACAATACATCGGATTCATGGACGAGTACCTGAAACTGGGACACATGCGCAAGGTCGAAGAAACTACAGAGGGACCGGTCAAACGGTGTTATCTTCCCCATCATCCGGTGGTCAAGGAGGCGAGTACCACCACCAAGGTCAGAGTAGTCTTCGACGCCTCGTGTAAAACGTCATCCGGAGTGTCCTTAAACGATGTGCTTCTGGTAGGGCCAGTTGTGCAGGAAGATTTGAGGTCAATTATCCTACGCAGTCGGATGAATCAGATTCTCCTCGTATCGGACGTCGAGAAGATGTTCCGACAAATCCTTACGTGGCTCAAGGATCGACCACTCCAGTCCGTATTATTTCGCTTTTCTCCGGACGAGGAAGTCGCAGTGTACGAACTGAACACCGTTACGTATGGAACCAAACCCGCACCATTTCTGGCAACACGAACTCTCCGACAGCTGGCTGCTGACGAAGAAGACCGATTTCCGCTCGCGGCAAGAGAAATTCGTGAAGACGTTTATATGGATGACGTCATCACCGGTACGGACGAGGTGGATACAGCTATCAGTCTCAGAAACCAGTTGATTGAGATGATGCTGTGTGGTGGTTTCAAGCTCCGAAAGTGGGCTTGCAATGTTCCCGAAGTTCTGGAAGGCGTACCCGAAGAAAACCTGGCTCTTCGAGACCCTAAAGGAATCAACCTGGATTCTGATCAATCCGTCAAAACGTTAGGACTAACGTGGATGCCTATTACCGATACCCTTCGATTCCAGTTCACAGTTCCTCCGATAGAACCTGGTGTCCCGTTGACGAAGCGTCGAATATTGTCACTAATCGCAACGCTGTTCGACCCGCTTGGATTGATTGGTGCCACGACTTCGTCTGCCAAGATCTTCATGCAGCAGCTTTGGACGTTGCAAGACGAGACCGGCAATCGGTTGGACTGGGATCAACCAGTACCTTTGATGGTGGGTGAGAATTGGCGGAAATTTCACGAAAAACTCCCATTGTTGAATGAAATTCGAGTCGATCGCTGTGTCATCATTCCCAAGGCAGTACTAGTGGAAATACACTGCTTTTCAGACGCTTCGAATAAGGCGTATGGTGGTTGCGTCTACATAAGAAGTCAGGATTCCAGCGGGATAATCAAGGTTCGACTCTTATCATCCCGATCAAAGGTGGCTCCACTCCGTTGCCAGTCTATCCCACGATTAGAGCTCTGTGGTGCGCTCTTATCGGCCCAGTTATACGAAAAGGTCAGGGATTCTACTCGGTTAGCGGTTCAGACTTTCTTCTGGACAGATTCAACATGTGTGCTGCGTTGGATCGAATCTACGCCAGCAACATGGACCACGTTCGTTGCCAACAGGGTGGCAAAAATTCAAACGCTAACGGAGGGATGGCAATGGAGACACGTGCCTGGTACAGACAACCCAGCGGACCTAATATCACGTGGAGTGTCACCCGAAGATATCGTCGACAATGAACTTTGGTGGGAAGGTCCGAATTGGCTGAAGGAGGCTCCAGAAGCATGGCCTGGTGCGGTCGAAGAAATCCCAGAAGCAGGAGAGGAAGAGAGGCGTCGCACCGTAGTTGCGTGTACTGTATCACCCGTAGCAGAATTCAACGAAGTGTATCTCAGCAAGTTCGGATCGTATTCTGACTTGGTTCGACGAACAGCATACTGGCTTCGACTCATGAAACTCCTACGAATACCAGCAGCAAGTCGTCCCGCAAATGAATTTCTCAACGCTGCAGAACTCAAAGCTGCTGAAAACGCAGTGCTCCGGAACGTCCAACGAGAGGTCTTCGCAGAGGAATGGAAGGCTTTATCGAAGGGAGAGTTTGTATCGAGGAAGTCCCCTTTGAGGTGGTTTCACCCGTTCGTCTGCAAGGATGGACTAATCAGAGTAGGAGGTCGACTGAAGAATTCCAAGGAATTGGAGAGCACCAAGCATCCTCCAGTTCTACCAGCACGGCACCAGTTAACCCGGTTGATTCTCCGTTGCTTTCACGAGCGATTACTACATGCTGGTCCACAACTGCTACTGGGAGCAGTCCGGTTGCAATTCTGGCCACTCGGTGGAAGAAATGTAGCCAGGGAGATAGTTCACCGTTGCGTGAAATGCTTCCGAACGAAACCGTCCACAATGCAGCAGTTCATGGGTGAATTGCCGTCATCCCGCGTCAATGTTTCGCGTCCGTTCACGAAAACAGGAGTAGATTACTTCGGCCCTGTCTATATCCGACCAGCCCCTAGACGAGCTGCAGTGAAGGCCTACGTATCGGTGTTCATTTGCCTCTGTACCAAAGCAGTACACCTGGAACTGGTATCCGATCTTTCGACGGATCGGTTTTTGCAAGCCTTGCGACGGTTCGTTTCACGGAGAGGAAAGTGTTCGGACATCTATTCCGACAACGGCACGAACTTCGTTGGTGCCCGGAACAAGCTAGCAGAACTATACAGTTTGCTGAGCGATCGTACCCATCGTGACCGAGTCACTAGTGAACTGGCTAAGGACGGAATTCAGTGGCACTTTAACCCACCTAGCGCGCCACATTTCGGAGGACTCTGGGAGGCAGCAGTCCGGTCGGCTAAGAACCATCTCATCAAAGTGATAGGAGAGACCCCAGCATCATCGGAAGATTTCGCTACACTACTAATACAGGTTGAGGCCTGTCTAAATTCCCGTCCGTTGACACCGATGTCGGATGATCCAAACGATTTGGAACCTTTGACACCAGCACACTTTTTAGTCGGTTCTTCGCTGCAGGCCCTCCCCGACCCTGAATTCACGACCATTCCACCGAATCGACTGAATCATTACCAGTTGATGCAGCAAAAATTACAGCATTTCTGGATTAGGTGGCGCCGCGAATACCTGAGTCAACTGCAAGCTAGGACCAAGCGATGGAAACCGGCAGTTCATGTGGAGATAGGCAAGCTCGTTGTCATCAAGGATGATAACCTTCCGCCTATGCGTTGGAAAATGGGAAGAATCGTCGCTGTACACCCGGGAGCAGATACGGTAGTAAGAGTTGTAACGTTAAAGACTGCCACTGGAGAACTTAAACGTCCGGTGGAGAAAATTTGCATTCTGCCACTTCCAAACAGCCACGATGAAAATCAATCCGATGCAATGTTGCCGTAAAACAAGATCCTATACCTTTCCAAACTCCCATCCCGTCGAAGAGGATTTCTTATTTTATTTTCAGATATTTTGCGAATCTCTGGGTGGGTGAGGATGTTTGGGACTGAACCACCCAGAAACTACAACCCTGTTCTGCTGCATAGCTGAGGGAAACAATACCCAGAATGAGGAAACAAACAACGGCTATTCTACAGCATCACCATTACCTACGATCGGTCGGGAGAGCGCCAGATGAGATGTCCATACGAGTCGCCGATCGTTTGTAGACTTCTGTACAGCGCGAGAGGGAGATTTGGGCTAGGCGACCATAGGTCAAGCGATGACCAGATCGAGAGACGGGAGTTAGTTGGTTTCGGACACCGGATAGGACGGTTGGATATCCCATCGGGGATGAATATAGAAATGATTAGCTTAAGTTTTGTGAAAAGTAAATTGTGTAGTAATTGTAAATAAATGTAGTTTTTGTAAACTGTGTTTTACCAATTCGCGAGTGTTGTGTTTGGAAGGAAGAATACTCGCATACGAGCTACATTTTTGGATTCCCCGAAACACCAACAACAACAGAGTCCCCCACCAGTGTTGGAGTCGGCACGGATGCTCCACTACCACCATATATCGAAGGAGGTAAGCCGGCTATCCAACAAGTACAGCTCATGGTGGTTTCTATTGATGTTAATTCTTGCTACGATTTGAATAGAATGTATTCTTGATTTCGCATTAGGCAAATATCTAGTATTATTTTATGCATATACCTTTATTTTGTCATAAAATATATACATCGGCAACAAACACATATTGCAATTAGATTCGATCGGGCCAAGGATCGGAAATGGGAAAATATACATGTAATACAAATGGCTCTCCTGCACTTTATCTTACACCATGAATGATGCCGTCACACGAAAAAAGAAACAGTTCTCTATGTAAATGTTTAATTCATTATACTTACCATATTAAATTGACCTACAAAATAGTTACATCTAAAATATGTCCACTGAACTAGCGCCATATTGAGTGTCACTCATTTATTTTTTCAGACCTGAAAATAACTTAGGGCTTACGTGAAACGCACATAGAATCTGTGCATGGGCAAATGGAATTTCCCCTCATATATAAGTGGTGTCATGTAGGTTGTCTACTGGAGGTGGTGTTCTCGTGGCGGTTCGTTCCGGGTTAAAGGCGAGAGCTATTGAAAACGTCTTGTGGAACTGTGTGGAACAAGTTTGGGTGGCCGTAGAACTGAGCGATCGCACACTGTACCTATGTGCGGTGTATATTGCACCTGACCGGGTTCGTGACAACGAACTTATCGATACCCATAGCCGGTCCGTTTTCACCATAATGGAGAGTGCAACACCAACTGATGAGATAATCGTTCTGGGTGACTTCAATCTACCCGGTGTTTCCTGGAAACCATCTTACAGCGGCTTTCTCTACCCAGACCCTGTACACTCTGTATTTCATACAGGATCAGTTAGCCTTCTCGACTGCTATAGTACAGCAACACTATCTCAAATAAACCACGTAGTCAACGAAAACAACCGTAGCCTGGACCTCTGCTTCGTTAGCGTTCAGGACACCGCTCCTTTCATCTCCACGGCACCTTCTCCACTAGTAAAGCAAGTACATCATCACCCTCCCTTGGTTGTCACTGTTGCTGACAATCACGATCGGGTCTTTGACGACATTTCCACGACCGACACGTACGATTTCCGGAAAGCCGATCACCGTAGTATCGTCAACTTGCTATCTAGTATAGATTGGGAGAGCATCCTCGATCCTGATAATGTTGAAACCGCTGCGCAAACATTTTCACATGTCTTGGCTTATGTCATTGACAGGCACGTTCCTAAAAGAGTTCACCGTAAAATTTCTCATCCTCCCTGGCAGACGAGTGAACTGCGTAGGTTGAAGTCGACCAAGAGAGCCGCATTAAGAAAATTCACTAAGTATCGTACGCTTTCGCTGAAACGTCACTACGTTAGGCTCAATTATGAGTTCAAGCGAGTTAGCCGTCGATGCTATTCGCGATATCAACGAAGGATTCAGAGGAAACTCAAGTCGCACCCGAAGTCATTCTGGAATTACGGAAATGAGCAGCGCAAGGAATCCGGCATACCTTCTTCAATGGTGTTGAATGGAGCAGTTGCTTCCACTCCTCAGCAGATCTGTCGCTTGTTTTCTGAGAAGTTCGCCAGTGTTTTCACGAATGAGAGATTAACTGACGAACACGTTACCCTAGCAGCTAGTAATGTTCCACTGTACGGTCAAACACTGGGTGCGATGGATGTCAACGTCGAGATGATTTTCACTGCCGCATCACAACTCAAGTCGTCCTTCAATCCATGACCCGATGGCGTTCCATCCGTATTCCTGAAAAAGCATATCGCCAGCTTGCTGATGCCCATGCTTCACCTATTTCGATTGTCCATCTCGAGTGGTACATTTCCATATGTTTCCTATCCACAAAAAGGGCAGCAAACGGGATGTGGACAATTATCGTGGAATTACGTCGTTGAGTGCAGTTTCGAAGTTATTCGAGTTAGTCATCATGGAGCCTCTACTCTCTCATTGTAAGCAGTATCTAAGTGGTGATCAAGACGGCTTCACTTCCGGTCGTTCTACTTCCACAAATCTGCTGTGTTTGACATCGTATCTTACGGAAAGCATGGCAGAGAGGACTCAAACAGACGTCATATACACCGACTTGTCAGCTGCCTTCGATAAGCTAAACCATGCCATCGCGATTGCCAAGTTGCATAGACTTGGGGTCAGCGGCAACCTCTTGCGATGGTTTCGTTCATATCTCACTGATCGGCAACTGATGGTTGCCATTGGTGACAACCGGTCCAATATCTATCTAGCTACGTCAGGAATACCTCAAGGAAGTCACCTGGGACCTTTGATTTTCTTACTCTACTTCAATGACGTGAACTTGGTCATCGAAGGCCCACGACTATCGTATGCAGACGATCTTAAAATCTACCTACGAATCCGCTTGATTGATGACTGTCACTTCCTTCAACGTCAGTTCGAAGCTTTTGCCAGCTGGTGTAATTTGAACCGAATGGTGGTAAACCCCACTAAGTGTTCAGTGATCACTTTTACTCTGAAGAAAGAACCAATCACATTTGAATACAAACTTATCGGCACTGTAATCGACCGTGTGAACCATGTGAAAGATCTGGGTGTTATTCTGGATTCTCAACTTACGTACAAGCAGCACATCTCGTACGTTGTCGACAAGGCGTCTAGGACATTGGGATTTATCTTCAGGATAGCAAAACATTTCTCCGATATCTACTGTTTGAAGTCACTGTACTGTTCCTTGGTGCGATCCATTCTGGAATATTGTTCTGTGGTCTGGAGTCCCAACTACAACAATGGTGCTGAGAGAGTTGAGTCCGTTCAACGCCGTTTTCTTCGATTCGCTCTGCGGAAGCTGCCTTGGAGAGACCCATTTCATCTGCCCAGCTATGAAAGTCGTTGCCAGCTGATTGATCTGGAGCCTCTCCGAACTAGAAGAGACACCTCTAGGGCCCTGTTCATTGCGGACACTTTACAAGGTAGAATTGATTGCAGTGCAATCTTGGGGCAAGTCAACATTAACGTCCAACCCCGTGCGCTACGTAACAACGTTATGCTGAGATTGCCACTTCAACGCACAAACTATGGCATGAACGGTGCAATAGGTGGGCTGCAACGAGTGTTCAATCGAGTCTCGGACATCTTCGATTTCCATATGCCTCGACAGCTGCTACGAAGATACTTCTCATCGTTCTTTTCTGGCACAGTTAACCGTGAATGATTGTGTGTTTTATTTATGTATTTTATTCTTAGTTTTTATTTTTTGATTTACCTATATAAGTTACTTAAATCATCATTGAAGCTATACACAGCCTGTTGATGCAGACAAATAAATAAATAAATAAAAATAAACAACTAGCGCCGGGAAGAGATGTTCAGCAGAAGATCTAGAACAGTTCAATATGATAAAACATTTTGCACATCTCTAGGTTTAATTAACATAAATTGAATTGTCTCATCACTTATACCACTCTAAATGTAGATTCTACCTGGGTCATGTAAAATTGACGGCAAACCAAAAAGAGATACTCTACGTGATTTTTCACGTAACTATAACGTGTCGATTACTTTGAGTGTATAACAAAATACAAGTCATGCTATATATGAATATTTTAATTGTATGGTACAACGAATCAAAAATATCTTTAAATGACAAAATGACAAACGATCAACGAACCGAATGATAACGCTATGTCAGAAGTGGAAAGCAATAACGATATAATCTTCTTCCTTCTTTTTCATGACAAGCAGCCCGTGCGACACAACTCACTCGGGGCGGTAGAAGGAAACTAGCAAATTGTTGGCACGCTGCTTCACGAAGTAAAGCCGAAGTGTTAATGGGAATTTTTTTGTTATGTATTTTCTCGATTCAGATCAAGCTACGTACTCATCCGTGTATATTGCAACAAAGCAGGCAAGCAATATATCATTTTCCTTCTACCACTCGGATCGAGCTATGTTACAGAGCGAGTTTGTCATGGTAGTCGTAGCAACCGTTTTGTCTGTATCGTTGTTGGTTTATGTGTTTGGATTCGCTGGTATGGTATGATTGAACTCAACTTTGCATATATTATAATGAATCCGCAATTTAAGTTAAGAATCAATTTGCTAAAGTATCAATAAGTATCCATGAATAATTTTTGAAATAGAAAAATCTGCAAAGGTATAACATTGACCTAACGTATGATAATATCCAATTGATTTTCTGGGTAATCCAAATTCTGAAAACTATAGATCATATTATAATATAATAAAATACCAATGATATGCTATTTGATACACCTTCTGGTCATTCAGGATCTGCAGGAAAACTTTTTTCTTTAAATGAAAATTTTAAATATAATGATATAATGATAATATAATTTACAAGTCATGCAATATATAAAATAGGAGAAATGCAGATAATTTCGGCC